TGCATGTAATACAAAAAATAAATATAAGAAAAACTCAATAGATTTGGAATATAATAATCAAAGTACTTGTATATTAATATTTTAGGCTAATCAAAGTTATAAATTAAAGTAAAATATGATATTATTTTGATTACAGGTAAAATATTAATATAAAAATTAATTAAAAATTTCTTAGTAGGGAATAGACTGTATAAAGAAAAAAATAGAGACAGTATGAGGATATTTATACTTTAAATTATTTTAAAATAAAACAAAGTAAATAATTGAATAATATTCAAAAATAATAATGATAAATTTAAATAGTAAAATATTTTCGAATAAGAGGATAAAAGCGTAAAATATATTAAATTTCAAGAATAAAAAAATAATATTTATCTATAATTATTAAAAGGATAATAAGTAAGATAGTAAGTCAATTAGTAACCCGAAAAAAGTCATATGAAAGTATAATAATATTAAATAATAAATAATATAATAATTATAAGCAAAGAACAAAAAAAATGTAAATTTTAAAAGAATAAGACTTATTGGAGGTTGAGATAAAAAAATAAAATGATACTAAGAATTATTAAAATAATATGATCTAATATGTTCAAACGAGACAAATCACCACATGACATATTTAGAATTTTTTTTTAAAATATTGATAACGAAACGAAATTCAAGTACTAAAATTAACCGATTGGATTATATAAATATAAAAAAAAGAAAACAAGTTATCAACTAAGAGATTTGCAAAATGGTTTCATGTCTTACTTCTTAATTAATATCTAATGATTATCTATAAATTTTATCTGGAAGGTTTATACTTTAAAGTTATTTCATAATTCAAATAATCCAAATCACAATCCGACATGGACTGTATCCGTGCATCGTACAGGTACTAATACTAGTTGGAATTAAAACAAAGCAAATTCATACTGTAAACTTCACAAAGACACGAGTAAGTAATCCAAGCCTATATTGACAAATATACTCGAGCAAGATTTATAATTAAAAGCCCTTTGCAATATCCGTAAATCATAATAAAAGGACTGTAAGTAGCAAGTAACATAAGAAGCAGCCAAATCTCATACAAGGCAGCAACAGATCAACTGTAAAAGTAAATCATATTCCATTTGCTAAGCTATTGCTATGTAGTAGTAGTAGTAGTAAACAAAGGTACATTTCAACAGAATATCCAGAGTCCAAGAAGGCCAGAAAGAGCTGAGACATCTTGGCTACCTACCCTTGCTTATTTCAAACGAATAGTTGAGCTCCAAATAACATCTTTTATCATCATCCACAAACTGCAGAAAAAAACAAATTCATCAACTTACTTGCTCGCCAATATGAATTATAGATTGAAACAAAAACTTGAAAATTTGATAAAGAGGCCAGAGAAATACACAGCCACAAAGTTGTGGAACACCCACATAATTCCTTGTACAGGCAATGGTGCCAAAAGGACGGACACAAAAGCAAAAACGTCTTCTTTTACACTACTCGATATATTTTAACGGGCAATAGCTGGTTATTTTACTTCATGTTCTAGGTTACCGAGTTAGGCTTCTAGTAGGCACTTACATGTTATTGTAGGTCACCATGATTTGATAGTGTAAAAACACCATGCACTATCATGACCAGCACACGCTCAACAAGAAGGCGATGTAAATTCTACTTGTTCAATACATGAATACGAGTCTCACCTATATCATCTAGAGCCGACTCAAAAACAATGGGAAAATTAAAGGTTAAAATCAGTACTATCATGAGGACACACTAAAATCTATATCAGTGGGATGTTAAACGTTAAAACTGTACTACATTTATTCTTGTGGACAAAATCGACTTACAGCATGCTTCATTTGACTAATGAAATGAAAAATACTGACTGATATTGGATCAAGTAGGAATGTAAATGCTCACACCTTAAGTTTAGCTGTATATGTTCCTCTTGCAAGTGCACCTGATGGAGTGGTCTCCTCTTCTAACATATGTATATAAGGTTCTCGCTGAGGAGCAAAGGTGCCCAGCATTCCCTTACTTTGATCAACTGACATCGAAATGAACAAACAATGATATGTAACGAAAGAAAATAACAGAAGTGAAGACTGAAAGTAGAGGTAACGCTTGTTTAATTTTAAGTTAGACTTCCATGCCTAATGTTGGGAAAATAACCTTAAGCCGTTGTGCAGCCCTTTTAGTGAAGGGTGAATCAAGTTGAAACAAATGCGTGGAATTGATTAAAACTAAAATCAAAACTAAAGATAATAGAATCAGAAAGGCACAAGAATTGAATGTGTTCGGCAACTATAATGTCTACATCCATGGGGAGATGGATTGTTCTTTCACTATGAGAATATTAATAAATTTCACACTTGGATTTATAGTCTCTAATCAATCACTATGAGAATAATAATAAATTTCACACATGGATTTATAGTCTCTAACCAACCCAACTGAAGTCCCTTGCACTCTTTCTAACTGATGAAGAACCAGTGACCAAACCTCTTCCTTCATACTCTCTCTAGTTTTATTCCACAATTGGCACACCTTACTTTATCAAAAAGGAATATAAGGCACAACTTGCCTCAAATTGTCCGCAGTTTTATAGACACAAATATATCTATACCTCCTGGTAAAGGGAAACCAAGATAAAGAAAAACTACTATGCGAAACTATTCATACATAAATGAATCTCTTTCAACCAAGGGAATTCCATCATCTTAGAAAAAGAAATCAGGCAACATTTGTTTAGATTCCAGCCAAAGAATGGTAAGAAAGAGTCCGCAAACTTGGAGACCAAGTCGTTTGGTCTCTACCCCAGGCCAAACTAGGATATCGGTCTTTGCGGAACACCTAGTGCAAAACCATATTCCATTTTAACTGCTTCACCAAAATCACACACAATCTACATGACTAATAATTCTAAAGTAATGATTCAATTCACACACTATAACGTGGTTTTTTCAGTTGATAAATGCACAACTCGAAGAACTCCTCTGCTCAAACAAATAAAGGTAATTATTTTGTCTGAAAACTACACAATGAAAATGCTAGTATTAAATCCCTTTGGTGCTTGACTGGCCAATTGTATTCATAAACAAGGGGAGCAAAAGAAATAGGAAATGAGACTATAGAAATCAAACCTTGAAGACCGGCCTTCCATACTGTATTTGTGTAAGCCAAGCCAGAAACTATATTGTGCAGAACACTAAATGTTAGCTTAAGCCGGTACTCTGAGCCCTCCTTGAGGGTAAAGAGAACAGATTTTCTCTGGCCTTCTTTAATAGGCAATGGAGTATTTATCTCCTCAAAGTCAGAGGAAAGAATTCCAACTGAGTGGAACTTAACTTCAGGTTCCATTTGCCCTAACAAATTGATCCAAATAGTCATTAAATAAGATTTAAAGGCTAATTTCAGAGTAAATGGTATGCTATGATTAGGAACAAAGCTCGTCAAAAGACAGACAAACCATTTAAGTCACTTTCCAGGCAACCAAGCAGCTTCTCTTTCCACCTCCTCAAGCTCTCATCCTCCTGCGCAAACAAGAATAACCATATGGAAATTCAAAATATCAGGGGCGGATCAATATATTAATTTTGGGTGCTCAAGCACCCATTAACCTCAACTTAGAGTAGGTATAGTTCTATAGAAAATTTAATAAATGGTATAAAGATCAGAAAGCACCTAGGAAACAAAAACTCTAATGGGTGCTTTGGTTAAGGAAGGATGCTGGAGACTTAATGTTGATAGCGGCAGTGTTATCAAAGGCGAAAAGCGCAAAAAAGCTCTAAGGTCCGTTGGGGTTTTAAGCGCAAAGCGCAAATAAAGCGTGGGCTTTAATGAAAAAAGGCGCAACTGGAGAAAAAGTAAAAATATGTAAATGCAGTCCAACACTAATAATTATAAGCATGAATAACAAATATACGGACAAAGAAATTGGAAAAAAATTACGAAAAAAGTAAAATATCAATTGTTTAATGTCGCTTTTACAGGATTACACTCGTTGGCGAGGAAAGTATGCCTTAGAGCCTTGATGAAATAATAAAGCGCACACAAAGCAAGGCGAAGCGCTCAACATGTTTTGAGCCTCGCTTCAGGGCTTAAGCGCGCCTTTGACAACACTGGTTAGCGGGCACAGGGACGTATGCAAGATTTTTGGTGCTGATGTTTAAAGAAGTAATGAATGAATAAATCACTCTAACAAAGTTATATTTACAAAAAACACAATTCAAATATACTGTTACAAATCTCCATCGACGTGTTTTCAGTTTTTGAAAATTTATCCATAATAGACTCATCAAAAATATGACTAAATACTTCTTTTTTTAATTCATAATACTCATTAGGTAATGAGTTGGACTTAAAAAAAAGGTAAGGAACCAGAGGTTCCAGATGCTTAAATTTTTATTGGCAGCAATGGATGCAGGTTGAATTGGTTTAGTAATTTTCCATTTTTATATTAGGAGTCGCAGGATCAAGCCTTGCTGGCTTCTACATTTTTCCAACAAAAAGGCTCAAAATTTTAAAAAAATACACTGACTAAGCAGGAATCGAACCTTCCACCTCCAAAGGAATACTACAGCACATTACCAGCACGCCATGAAGCTCTAGCGTTAAGAAGTGTCATTCTTTACTATTTAGCCTATTTGTTTTGCATATTATTCACATATGTAAATTAAAAATTTGTCAACAAAGCAGTGTCGGATGACACCGATAAACGTGCGTCCTCCCCTGAGCGGGCAAGCGTTCGAAACTCAATCCTAGCATAAGTCCTTTTTAACCAGCCGGTAAACTATCCCTTTTTTCTTATATTCAAGCTACTTTCTTTCTTCTTTTTTTCTTGAAAGAAAAATGTTTCCCTCAATTAGGTCTTTTTTTAATTATTTCAAGTACACTTTCTTAACCCAATACTACTTTTTCATATATTTCACTGACTTTTGTTTACCTTTTTTTTTTTGGTTTACCTAATTCTCTATAGCAAAGGAAAAGAAAATCTGCAAAAGATTCCAATGTTCGACCCCTTCTAAAGACGAATAGTTCCTCCAGAGCGGCAAAATTCACTTTCTTTTTTCTTGCCAGTTGTTCTCATCACAGATTCACAGCGTCCATAATATTAATATGAGTTTTCTCCTTTACTTTTTTGTCATCGTCGTGTTCAAATAGTTATACATGTACTACGCGATTAGTAGTAACTTTATGTCAAAAAATATTAAGACCCACGAAAGTAAAATCCTAGATACGCTACTGCAAAATATGGAAACAGATTTACTGAAGCTTCCAATGCAAGGGATGATCTCAATTTAAAATAATGTAAGGCAAAAAAAATCCGACGGAGTGAGAAAGAATCAAGGTAGATTGAGAAGGAATGCCCTTTATGGTACAGCATAGAAATTTCCTCAAATGAATTTTCTGATGCAACTAAGAGATTATTTCAATTTCAAGAATGAAAGGAGAGAAAAAATCCCACTGGAGTAAGCAAAAATCAAGGCGACTCCAAGCCAAACTTGACGCCAAAGCAGAATAAGGAATACTTTAAATGTCACACATAAAAATTCTCTAGATTAAATATTGTCAGTACATGAATCCCACACAAAAATCACTTACTGTATTCAGGGAAAAGCTCAAAAATGGTGGTCCTTTTTTGTTTTTTCTTCTTTTCCATTTATTTCTTTTGGGGGGTGGGTAGATACAAATTCAAAAAATCACTGCCTGAAGAAACAACCTACATCACCAAAAGCAATGATCTTTGAAAAAGAAGTATGCAAGACAACAAATAAAATAACAAATGCATATATAGATGCCAAAACCAGATAAGCAGAACCCTAAAACAGTATAAGGAATTGAGACGCCCATGATACATCAAAAATACATAAAGATAACAGACACAAGAGAGACCCACTTCTATTTTCAAGCTGTAAGCCAAATAAAGTTCAAAGCTTTTTGAGTTTCAAGAGAAAGAGAGAACCTTGTCCTTTTCAATTTGATCTTTGAGAGAAAGGAGAGGACCAGGTACATAACTTGTTGTAATAATATCAGCAGCAGGATCTTGATTATGCTCTTCTTCCTCACTATCTCCCTCTTCTAATTCCTCCTTTCTCTTGTCTTCATTAAGGTTAAGGCCACGTGATGGACCTGCTTCCTCTTTGTTGTTGCCACCCTCCATCATTCTTGATTATCTCCGTGTGTTTTAGTGAGTGTGTGTGTTGGGGTTATGAGCAGGGGGCAAAGTGTATTCTAGCAACAAAGGATATAGCAGTAGGGACAGTGAAGATTTTGTTTTGACAATTATTGAACAAGAAAGAAAAGGGGGGTGCAGAAAATAAGTCCAAATTTTCAATTCTTGGAGACAAACATAAAACCCTCGTCTGTCTGACAATTGTTTTCTTGTCTGTTGTCTTTTCCTTTTCTTTTCGTGGGGGGCGCGCTTTTCTTTTTTCTTCTTTTAGTTATAACGTTGAAGAAATTTTTTTTCCTCCTTCACATACTTATAGATAGGGGGTGTCAATGGTTCGGTTCGGCCGGTTATTTTATAAAATTTGTATCATACTAATTTTTTGATTATTTTATTATGTATAACCAAAATTAGACTTTTCGAAACCGTCTCAATCATGTCGGTTTCTCTTCGGTATCGGTACGGTTCGATTAATTTTCGATATTTTTTTAAATACCATGTAAAATTCATCGGTAGAAATAGAATGCAATAACATATGTTCTTTTATAGAACTTAGCAAAACTCTCTAGACATTTTTACTGTTTAAACTGATAAATTAAAAAAAATAAAAGATGGCTAGAGTATAGATTCATCAATTATTCTACAACAACGTAGAAGGCAAAAAATATAAATCACACGAGTAAAAATATATTAAACAAGCTGGGACTCAACAATAAAGTCGATATTTAATACATTGTAGCTTGCTATAAATCCAAATTATATGAAAGGAAACATATTCAATACATTGTAGTTTGCTACTCATAATCGCTAGAATATTGTGTCTTGCTAATGAAGTTTAAGTAGAAGTAGCATAATAGGTTTTAGGAATTAGTATTTTGTGTTTCATTACTTGTTGGCTTGTAACAGTTTTCATAATTTCAAGCCCCAAAAAAATTCTATTATCTTTAAACTTACTATATAAATATATTTTTTATATGTAAAATTTATTCGATACGGTTCGGTATTTTTTTGGTTTATTTTCAAAAAATAAAAAATCCTACCCTAATTATCGGTGTGGTGATAGATTTATATAAAAACCTACAGTTTCTTTAAAAGAAATCTAAAAATCGGTTCAATATGATACGGTTCGGTAGATTTAGTCGGTTTTCGAATATCCATTGACACCCCTACTTATAACCTAGGAGTCCGGAACCGAAATGTGGTTCTTTTGGACTCAAAATACTTTTTTGAGTGAAAAAAAAATATTACTATTATATATAAAATACGGTTATGAATCGCATTTTATCTTAACAGCCGTTTGGGACGTTAAAATAAAGCGTTGTTCATAACCGCATTTTATATAAAACACGGTAACAAACCGCGATTTACCTGGCAGCTGATAAGACAAGTATATTAAGCGCGGCTCATTACCGCATTTTACCTATTTTGTGGGCCCACCAATTACTCTTCTGCACTTAACTGACATAACAATAATTCAAATATATAAAACGTCTTTTTAAACTGCATTTTACTTCCAAAAATTTGACCCCCCTCCCCCTCGGATTGGGCATTGCCTATTTAAAGGCATTAAGAGTTTTGAGAAAAATCATTCAGAAATACTCCAACTTCGTGATAAATTTTTCTTGTTGTTAAATTCTCAAGCTTTTTTCATAATGTTTGAAGAGCGAAAAGTAAGAGTTTCATTATATTGGGGGGTGAGGTTGTGGTGGTGAATAACTCATTGAGCTATGGTTTATCTCCACAGAATCATGTTAAGTTGCCACTCACAATGGAGTACGATAGACTGATATCGTTATGCAATAAAATGAGGTTGAACAAACTTTTTCGGTGAATCTTAAAATAACCGGAAGATATCCGTATTATGTGACTCCGCAAGGGGTTGCTTGTTACGCTGAGTTTAACATTGAGAATGATTAAATTCTGAGAGATTTTTTGGGGACTCCGGATGAATACCGGGAACTTATTTTGATAAAAATATTGGAAATGTACGTGAAAGTTGAAGACGTTCGCAATAATGATGTTGCGCAAAGCAGGGATAACCCTCAATCATCGGGTGGTTATTCTGGAGCAGTTTTAGCCCAACAAGTTCCGGCTAAAAGAGTTTGGCCGAATCTAAACTTATCTCCACGGGCAAACGAGGAGCGAGGAAATAATTTCTCTCCTACTTTACATAATCCACAGGACGACTAGTAAACTTCAATTTTCCTTTGTGTTACGATGTTTATTTTTGTTGTATTGAATTTGTATTAACACTCATATATTCCATAGGGGGTACCGTCCAGATATGAATTTTACAAGTTATGACCCCACGTCCAGTTGGAATATGCGTAGTTTTGGTGTGTTGGATCACGGTGGTCCATTCGGGAGTCATGACCAACAGGATAATGTCCATCATGGAATGTCAACACATTACGACTTTAAGTGAAGTGATATAGCTATATGTAAAGTATTTATCAATTGAAGTAGCTTATCATTTTATTGTTTGTGTAGTGAAAACGAGCAACTTGATGATCCTGACCTCAATGAGTTGCCCGTAGACGACGTATTTACTCTGGATTTGGCAGATGCGCAAAGTCGAGAAGATAATGGTGATTATGACAATAATGCCGATGAGTCTGGAGATGACACACCCTTCCCTGACGAGGATGATGATAAGGAAGAAGTGAATGTCGAACCTGAGCTGACGAGGGAGCATGCTCCACCTCCCATTAGACCAAGAGTGTACGAGTCCCACACGCCGTCTCATTCAAGGTATATTGCCTACCTTGATAATTTGTCAAGTATGCCGGATGTGCATGCCCTCACAAGGGATCTTGACGAAATTCGATCAGCAATGTGGGATGAGCCTAGACCAACGGTGCTGGCAAAGGGCATATTTTTTTCCGATAAAGCTCGCCTAACCAGGGCTTGAAAATGTACAGTGTAAGAGAGGTCGTGAGATGATGGTATGGGAGTCAAGTAATCAAAAATAATATTGGATTAAAAAACAAAAAAAAAATTACGTTCACATTGGAGTTTCACTCTAAAATTATTAAAAAACTACACTGTCATAGGAGGAAGATGTTTGATAAATAACTGAATATATATAGCGCAGTTAAATACTATATTTTGTGTGTTGTCTTGTCGATCTGAAAAGCTATCGGACTGCGAAAAAGCTATTTTGTATCAGAAAGAATTTTTAACACGCCAAGCATAGCGCGGTTAAATACTACGTTTTGTGTGAATATATTAAATACTATATTTTGTGTGTTGTCTTGTCGATCTGAAAAGCTGCCTGACTGCGAAAAACTATTTTGTATCAGAAAGAATCTTTAACACGCCAAGCATAGCGCGGTTAAATACTACGTTTTGTGTGAACATATATAGCACAGTTAAATACTACGTTATGTGTGTTGTCTTGTTAGTCTGAAAAGCTGCCCGACTGCAAAAAACTTGTTTTGTATCAGAAAGAATCTTTAACACGCCAAGCATAGCGCGATTAAATACTACAATTTGTGTGTTGTCTTGCCTATAAATAACGGGCGCATTCTAGTTGTTTTTTGCGCTTAACCATAACAAATAGCAAAACTTTCCATAAAAGCAGGATTTTTGTTAGCTTTAACAAATATCTGACCGCATGTATGTACCAATGTGCCAATGTGGCAAACATTGTATGATGGCGGACTGTTGGGATGACGGTCAAGTTGGGCACAGATACTGGATGTGTGTGAACAGGTTTGGAGGCAACAACGAAAATTTTGCAACTTTGACATATGGCTTGATGAACCCTGTGAGCAAGAATGCTACAAAAAATTTTGCAGTATCTTCATGATTTGACACAAAACCGTAGGAATATGAACGAGAGTATAAACGAGAAATTGAGGAGTTGAAGGAGAAACTCAAAGAGGTGGAAGAAGAAAAAAATAAGCTGGAAGAGAAATTTAAGTGGTTGGAGCAGAGAATACTAGGCGGTGGTGACTAAACAATGACAGGTATGTGTTGAGTGTAGTACTTTATCTTTATATTTCTCGTGTCATGTGTTTTCATTAGTTGTACTGCATTTAAATTATGTTTGTGTTGTAGTGTTAAAATAAAAAAAACGGGGAAATAAAAACATAATGCGCATATTATGTAAGCATAAAAAATTATTGTTATTATTTATATAAAATAATATTTACATAGCGTACATAAAATACAAAAAAAAAATCAATATGTCCCACAGCCTGTGTGCTTCAATGCAGCCGCTGGCCTGAGGCGTATCCCATCCCGCCCGGATACGCTATCAGGATCATCCTCATCACGTCGCCTCTTTATATGAGAATGCATTGCAGCATGATCGTCAATAGTGCTGGCAGGATCGGTATAAGGGGTCGTCGGTCCATCAGCAACCTATAAAAGAATAAGTCAGCTCATTATATGAAAATATATAGTAATGTACGTATTAAGTCAAAAAAAATTTCTTACCATGGTCTCGTCGGGCTCCTGAGTATAAGCATCCGTCACATCTTGCTTAGCATCGCACGGAGTGGCCTCCGTGACGGGATGGGATGAAGCCTTAATAAGAAAATTATAAAGTTATTTATTGTGAATCAATGAGATAAAAACGTATTTAAATTTAATAGTAATACAAACATACCTGCTCCTGTGAAAAATCCACACCACCCGTCGACGATGAGCCATAACTCATCCGGCGCCCACCATCCACATCTCGGGTCGACCGATCCTCACCAGCGGTTGATGGGCCTAAAAACGACTGCTCCCAATCATGTCCGATAATGCTCGTGCTAGTGATCAACAATGGATCTGACGGGATCATCTACGATGCGGCTGGAGTGAACGCTAGCTGAATGTTGTACGACGGCATGCTGCTGGGATACTCGTCTGGCTGATGGAGGTCACCCGGCAGATCAGCTCTAACATCCTCATCAGGTGCCTGAACAGGTGCCTCAATCCCCCCTTGCTGGGGACTACCTCCTCGCCGGCCCCCACAACCCCATAAGGCACCCCTGCCTCGTGGGACAACCTTGCCTTGCCATCCCCTTGCTCGTGGGACAGACCTACCTCGATGGTAGTGCTCTAGCGCCACATAAGCAGGAACGTGCTCTAAGCGCTCGTCTTGTCTGGCTCGATGCAATGTTCGGGCCGCCAGCTTAGTAACCTGCCAACCATACTCCTGCAAAGCGACCGCAGGATCGCCGGCATGCTGCTGCATCTGC